AACATAACCAAATGACATGGATTCATCATGAAATGTGTAGCATGAAAAATTACGTGAAGGTGATCTCGTACACGTCTATTTTCAACTGGTCCAAACTTTAACTTATCGAGATCGATACAATAACCTTAATGTACAAAGTGTAATGAATGAACAAGAAAACCGCATATCTATAGATAACCAAATATGTCCAAAAAAATAATGTATACATATATAAAATTAAACATAGAACATAAAATATATGAAAATGACTAACTCCCACTAAACCACAAATTCCTCAAACCGTAAAACACCCATGTGAGCAACATGCTCATGAAAGACCTTGAGCGAAGTCCTTTAGTTAGAGGATATGCTATCATGGAGTTTGTCCTTAAGTGTTCTATGGAAATCTGTCCACTTTGTACTCTTTCCTTAACAATACAGCTGATTTATTGTCACAATATAACTTAAGTGGTCTTTCAATGCCTTTCACAATTTGCAGCCCTGTGACAAAATTTATCAGCCATATTCCATGATTTGATACCTCATAACAAGTTACAAATTCTTGACATTCTACAAAATCTGAGTAAGAAAACCCAGCGATCTCCAACTGGTCTGACCTCCTATATGTGAGCATATAATCTTTTGTTCTCTTTAAATATCTTATGACCCTTTTTGCTGCTTTTCAATGGTCTATTCCTGGATTGTTTAAATATCTGCCTAGAACCCCAACTATATATGCTATGTTTGGATGCGTACATACTTGGGCATAGATCAAACTCCCTACAACTGATGCATAGGGAATCTTTTGCATTTCCTCAATTTCCAAATTCCCTTTGGGAACTGATTGAGACTAAACTTGTCTCCCTTTAAACTTGTGATACATACAATCATCAACAATATTCATCTTGAAGCCAAATGAGTTTCATACCTTCTGGTAATGGGACAAGTTCCCAATAACCTTATTGTCTTGCATGGACTTATAGTTATCCTATTGCTTCAATCCACTTTTGAGATTTAGAACCTTATATAGCTTGACGGAAGTTAACCGGGTCATCTTCCATTATATCATTATTTTCCTCATGTTCCCGAAGAAATACCATGTAATCATCCGAAATAGCACTTATTCTTTCTCTAGTGGATCTCTCGCAAAGTTATTAGCTCATGATGCACAAGTTCTTGAGGATCTTGAGTTTGTTCTTCATGAACAACCAAATCATCTTGAGTGAGGGGTTCATCAACAATGCCTTGTGGAGGTTCCGAACTTACTTTATCAAAAGTAACTATTTGAATCGGTTCTGAAATTGTTACCGATTCTTCCTCCAAGATGAAGTTCTTAATCTTATTCTTCCCCCCAAACTTAATATCCTCAAAGAACGTAGCAGTTCCCATCTCAAAAAATTGTCTTTAATGTGGGATCATAATATTTATATCCCCTGGATCTTTCAGCATAACCAATAATATAACTACTTACTGTTCGAGAGTCCAATTAAACTAATTATGCTCACATTATATAAAAAATAAATAATATATATTCAAATAGTGGTTTAACCCATCTCAAGATACCCAATGCACCATCAATATCAAGTCTTTGGACAAGTAATATTAACTCGCTAGAGGTATCTTGTTGTAATAATCAAACATTGACAATAAAGCACGTCCAACAACAAACCAGTCTTTGGATTGATTTATCATCGACAAAGCAAATCCTTATAATTATCACATGTTTATCATTACAAGTGTGTATGCAATTCGGCCAAATATTAATCTTCCTTTGGGCCGACTAATACTCGCATGAATATACACAAACACTAACATTCAATATTTTTTATGAACTGCCCAATTCAAGAGAAGTTACTTTGGTGACTTCTTGACTCAATTTGCTCACAAAAAATATTAAACTACCAAAAATTGAATATTTTATTTATATAACAAAACCAAATATTTAATATTTGCAAACTAATTCAAAAGAGAATAATCTCATCGAATTCTACTAAGGATGAACACCTCCCTAGAATCTCATTAGGGATGAACACCTCATTTGAACAAATCAAAGGATGAAAAAAGGCCTCATTTTCCACCAATACATAAAGGATGAACATCTTCCTAAAATCACACTAGGGATGAAACAGAGATAGTTCTCGAGTCTCTTTAGCATACTCGCTCTAAACCCTAAAAGGGAATTAAACAAGTAGTCACTCGCACTCTAATTTAACATCAAATTTTCTTTAAATTCCTAGGGGATAGAGGCAATAAAATAATAATAGCCAAACATGTGGAAACATTCATCATTTACCTAAGATTCTCTATGTTGGGAACTCCACAAACACCACCCCCAATTCCAAACCCATAAAATTAAATAAAAACAAAAGATTCAAAAAAGAACGAGAGAACCCAATACAAGAAAAATTGAAATATGAAACACTCGTTTCTTTCTCAGTAAAACTTGAAACTTAAACTGAAACAAAAGTGAAAAACGAAGAAGAAGAAGAATCCATAGCTTCCTCCACGTGCTCCATCAGCAAGCGTAATCAGATTGGGGATGTTACCCCCAAATTTAAATTTTAGGGTTCACAAAAATTAAAGATTATCCACCACTTAGGGTTCATAAAATTGGGTAATCTGAATTGTTTAAAACAAAATTAATCCTAATTTTCATAATTAGGGTTCTATAAATTAAACAGACATGAATCAAATATGGGCGGCTCCGATACCAATTGTTGGAAAAACAATAACAATAATAATAATCCCGATTTTGATTCTAACAATCAAACATAAACATAATCCCATACTCGATAAACATGTTGTAAACCGAATGCGAAAGCGTACTCGAATTAGCCATAACGATGATGTCTTTGTAGAGCACTATATTGATCTTATGGTCTTCCACCGAAGAGCACCTGTATTTCCCTCTTGATTTTCTCTCTTGATGGGGATAGAAAGAAAGGAACGGGACTGATACTTACGTTCTGTGTGTGTGCTCTCAGAAGGGGACCATGACCCTTTAGATAACCAGAATTAAGTTAATTACTTAAGTTTTAGTATTTCCAATTTGGCCCCTCATCAAATTAGAAATTGCTCTATGGTCTCTACACAATTTTATTTTCATGACATATGCCTTTAGCCAAAACTTTAATTTAGTTAGATCACTTTATTATTTGGCTTAATAAATAATGACCCTAACACATTTAAATATGTATCATATATATACATGACCCAAAATTTGCCAACAATTATTACTTCTATATCTGTTTTATTATATCGAATGATTTAATACTTACCCCTATTTTTCCATGTAGATGAGACTGCGATAATCACTTTTATGTGGGAGCAGATCAGGAGTTGAGAGATGGTGATGTGACTACTGGACAACAGGGATAGTTCATTGGGATAACTTCGAGGGAGCTACTTTTACATGTATAATATATAAATAAATTATGTTACTATATTTCGAAGTTCCGTTAGTGAACTGGAATTTTAATATATGTTACAATTACAGTAATATAATGTAAAATAAATGTTGTTATTTAGTTGTTTACTACTTTGCGAAGACATCATTATAGTGGATAGACTAATTTGAAATATCTAAGAAATAGATTAATTTAGGTCCAAAAAGTTATAATTTAAATTGGAAAACATTGGTATAGTATATTTAAGTAATGATTTATATAAATTTAAGTAAGATTAGTTTATAGATTTATGAACTTAACTGTTTTATTGAATAATAATTATTTTTTTAAATAAAAATAAAGTAATATTATTTTATTAATATATATATATATATATATATATATATATATATTGTAAATTAATTTTAGAGAGATTAACTTATTCTAAAAATAAATATTAAAATAAATTTTAATAATATATTTATTTTAAGATCTAATTATTAAAACTAATTATTATTTTAAATTAATAAATTACTAAAAATAAATAATAATAATAATAAAAAGTAAATTTGTAATTTTTATTTTAAGATTAGATAGATATATTCCTTATAATTTATATATTAAAATATTATATTTTAAACAAAAATTAATTTTATTTATAAAATTTAATTTTTCAAAATATATTTAATTTTTTACTTTTATTTAAATATTTTTAATAATTGATTTTATATACATATGTTAATATTTAAAAAAATTCAATTAAAATACAATTGATCCGTTGATTTAACATAAGTATAGACTAGGCTAAAATCTTTGTCTATTAATTCGTCATATTTTTACAGTCATATATATATATATATATATATATATATATAATTATTATTTAATTTTATTTTATTTTATATTTTTGTAATAATTAGACTAATTTATACATTTATTCATTCTCTTTCAAAAATTACAGTGAATAATTATATTTTTTAATTAATTTAAAATATTTCTTCTATCAGTTTATAATTAAAATTTTTAATAATATCAAAACCTTAATTTTTTTTAAATAGTCAAAACAGTATTTTCTGATAACAAATATTTCATACATATGGTTTATTAGTGACCATTTTTATCTGATATCATAATATTTAATGATTTTAAAATCCTGTTTTTTTTTTCAGAAAAATAAAAAATACAAATACAAATTATTAAAAATGAGATCTCCAATTAACTAATGACGAATACAAATAACATCAAGTTTTATAAATTGGCACGTTGTTTCGTCTCAAAGGTTATTACCATCCCTATACATCTATCAAGTAATGACTTGGGGGATTTTATTTTTTCTCTTTAGCAAATTTGTTCATCAACTTTTTTTTCTTATAACTTAAGAAAGACTTTATAAGTTTTTCAAACCAATAAAAACGTTATTTTTTTAACATGAATGAAAAATAACACAATAATAAAATTTTCACTTTTATTTATTAAAATTATACAAGATGGTTCATACGACATATTGACGGGGATGAGGTTCATATCACATATTGCTACATTTTTTCTTTGAATATACAAAGATTAACAATCACCCAACTAAGCATACAGCCATACAATAACCTCAACCCAATTTAGGGAAAATAAATTAAATTATTAAGATATTGTTGGTAAATTATCAACCCATCTATCTTTATTAATAAAAGATGCGAAGGAAAATTGTTCCATCTCAGAGGAACTTAATTTCTTCATCCACGGAACACGCTTTGAAGTATCAGCTCCTGGTCCTTCACACTCAACCTCACCATAAGTGATCGTGCTCCTGCAACAATTTATCACAAATTAATCAAAGAAAAAAAAGAAGAAACTTCAACTATTTTTTAATAAAAACATTGAATATAAAAAATAGGATTATTACTTTTTGATGGCCCATTTTTAAGAAATGTATCTATTTAAACTTACTCTTTGCCAAGGGAATTCCAAGCATCCCATCCTTGAGGAGTTATAATGGAGGAAAAATAGGTTTTATGAAAAATGACTCTGGAGTATGGTCTCCATGCTCTTCCTAAATTCACTTTACCGTTCCCTGTAATGGAACCCCCTTCAAACACAAAACCACCTGGGTCATCTGCTGAGTCTCGTCCTTGAGCTGTCACAAAGCCTGGTAAATTTGGATATCTCCCCAAAGCATTGATCTTACAATCCTACAAATGAAGAAAACACATTTCATTATTTTATTTTCAAAATGGATCACTAAAATAATTCATCTATTTATTAATTACCTCGTAATAAGATTGTCCAGCACCAAAAATGAAATCTATTTCACCTTCAATGTAACAGTTTTTTATATAATGGCGTCCATTTGCGTCAAATAAAGTGTCTTGATAACCCAAAAAACTAGAGTTATAAAGGAAAGATTTGTCTCCATATATTCTTGCTGCCAATGCTGGTCCATCACGATACGGGTTCTGTAGATAAAAAACAACATATCAGAGATAAAGAATATTGGAGAATTATAAATTTGGTGGATATGTATCAGTTGTTGATGTTGTAGATTCACCCTGAAAGTAATGCCAGTCACAATAACATTGGGTGGCGATGAAGTGAATGTAGCACTATCGGCCGTTCCACCATTTGTTCCGTTGTGGTCTGAAAAACTTATGATTGTGTTTTGGCTTCCTTCTCCTTCTAAAATGATGCATGGCTTTTCTACGGGAATGTGAGGCTTTTCTCTGCACAATTATAATATTGAAATACATTTTGCATGTTTGTGGAATTGTAAGTATATTCCTAAAAACGTGTTTCAAATACAAGAGAAAAACTCACTGGCAAGGTTTTAAAAACAAGTTAATAAATAACAAAGTCATTACCATAAAGAATAAAAAAAAGATGGATACTTGTTCAGGGGCCAAGCGTAAGATCTGTGGGCAATGTGAGAATGGTAGCAAATGTTTTTGGTGAAAACTTGTTCAGAATTTTTAGTCATAGTTATGTTTGAATTGTAGTGAGTGACTAAGTTAACTGAGGTATGAGTATTTTTATTTATTTGCCACAAAATGTCATTTTCAAAAGATTTTAGTCATGAGTTATATCAAAATTGGAGTTTGTTTTTTCTTCAATATATATGTAAGTAACTATAAAACATGGTTTTAAAACATGAAATATTCATTGCATTTTCTTAATAAAACCATGCATTTTGGTTAAAAAAAAAAAAAAACTATACATGATATAATAAGATCATTTCAACTTACAAATATGAGCCTGCTTTTATGTGAATCTTGACCCATTGATCGTTGTTGCTCTTCACAGAATTAATGGCATCTTGAATCGTTGTAAATGCTTTATCTTTGCCATGTGGATCAACAATTAGGGTATTTGAAATACTCTTTCCACCACAATCTATGGCTCTACCAATCCGAATGAAACAACTAGTAACTAAGATCAGGAGGAAAGACATTGGAGAAGGAAACAATTCCAAAACCATAGATAATGTGTTGAGTGATTCTTAGGAGCATAAACATCCCTTATAAATACAAAGCAAGATAGGTTTTTCTTAGTTATTGAAAAAAGGAATAACGATCTTTCACATATCTTCAATAATTAATAAATTTCATTAAAAAAATATAATAAATTGTAGTTTAATACATCGAACAGAGAGCATCAGTGCATAGTTTGGCACAACTTTATATAGTTTTTAAGATAATATAATCTTCATTTCATTAAAAAATTTATCAAATCCATTTTAAAAATACCAAATGAATAGATTTTTCTTTTCTACCTTATTCTTCATTAATAATTATAAATATGTCTTATTAACAAATATATAAAAAGTATAAATATGATAAAATATTATTTATTATATTTCTCGTATTTTTAAGAAAATGCTTTTAAAACATTTATTTTAAGAGTAGAACACTTTATGCATTCATGTTTCTTACCCTATGTAATAATAATGGTTCTTTTATTTGATATTTTCTCTGTTTTAAATATATGTTGTTAAAAGATTGGGTTAAAGATAAGTATTAATTTTTATTATTCTTGTTATTTTCTTTCATTCATATCTTTATTATTTTAAAACAGTGAGAGTGTGTTATAAGTTTATTTTTTTATCTCTATCATTATTTTGTAATATAATGATTAAGATAATTTATTATTTTAGATTATTAAATTGAAAAAAAAATATAAAGATAAAAAATTACTTTTATTCTAACTCTTATTCTTAAAATAAATAAACCATTCACTGTGTGTAAGGATGACTCTTATATTTTAAAATAACTTATATATATATATATATAATGAAGTTTTTCTAAAAATAATAGACTTAATCTTTATTTTTTTCTAATTTATATATTAAAGTGATGAAACCATTATATTGAAAACAAGGATAAAAGTGATAAATAATAATTATTGTTATTAATGGAAGGGGAAGAAGAATCATGTATCTTCGACACTAAATCTTCATCTATGGTTAAATGTGAAATACTTAATAAAATTATTAGATCTTGAGAATGCAGTTACCTTTGAGGAGTGTTTGGTAGAAAAAAATAGTTTTCCATAAATTTGAAGGTAGAGAAATATGTTTCTCATATTTTGTTTACTTTCTTTTTTAAAATAATGACATTATAAAAAAAATCAAGGTTATTTTTAGAATGATTTTTACCGTCACTAAATTTTAGATAATGGTAAAAATAATATATTACCTTTTAAAAAAGTCGTAAATATTCAATAATATTTTTCACCAACAAAAATTAAATTAATGATTATAAGAAACTATAATTTTCAAGATTCATAAATTCTAGGATCATGTTTCTTGTATATGAAAAAATTCTACTAAACACATTTAGAGTAATTGATGTTTCATTTGAATAGATAATCGTACAAAATTTCATATGTTTAATAAGCACCCATTACAATTGTTAAAATTTAAAAATATAAATGACAAATATGATATTTAGAAATAAAAGAATGAAAGCATTTAATTTTTATACAAACACTAAATACATACATTATATCTGTTCAATATTAATTCAATAATAAATGTCCATATAGATATTGTTTTTTTTTTTGTTTCTTATCTCAATTAGTAGTTGTAGAAATTTAGAAAAGATTGAGATTGATTTAATAACCTAAAATATAAATTATTTATCATAAAGAATAATAATTAACATTATTTATTTCTTATCTAACTTGGTATCACTAAAATTTAAATCCAAAAATAATTATTAAGAAACAAAAATTAATATCATTTACTTTGGTAATTCTTGTTATATATAGTTAGATATAATTCTTTTAATGACAATGATGATCAACTGAAAAAAAAAAAAAAAAACAACTAATGTTATCCTTTTAACTTATATTTGAAGTATATAATAATTAATAATTTGTAATAGTTCTTTAAATTTATAAAATTATTTGCTCCCACAAATATGTTCCTCCCAACAATAGAAAATAATAATGATTAAAAAATCATTATATTTAGAGATTATTCTATAAATGATATTTGTGAAGGAATTGCATAATAAAAATAATAATATTGGGAGATAAAATTGATTTAATGATATTAAAATTTTATATTTAATATTTAAATTCCATTGATCCACAGTTTTATTTCAAAGAAATACACTATGATATTTAATATTTATATTTTATCCTGAAATTTATTTATTATTGTTGGACATTAATTTAAAAGATTAAATTTTTTAATTATTATTTCATGAATTTTTATTTTATTTTCTTGAACATACAAATTGTGAGGATAGACTGAGATTTGATAAAAAAAATTATTCTTTTATATTTATACATTTTTTTCTTCCATATTCTTGTGTCCACAAGAGAAAATAAACATAAATATTTGAATTTGATTTACTATAAAATTCAATATTTAAGTAACTTATTACATGAAGCCATTACATTTAGTGATGATTCATTGAAACATAATAGTGGTCACTGAGGAACTGTACAATAACACCAATGTAATCATTTCATGTTATATGCCCCATCAATACCTTAAAAATATAATAAATGATAATTTAAATAAAAGTTTTTAACAAATTGGAATAGAAAATATTTAAACCTTTTATTAAAATGTATAATATTGTAACTGTGTGGAGATAACCATTGCCACTATTTTCTTTCAAAGAAATGCATTATGATTAATATTTCATCGGGAAAAGTTGTTTATTATGAATGGATACTAATTTAATAGATTTTAAAATATGTAAGTAATAATTAATGATTTTTTTTATTTCTTGAACTTTTATAAAAAGAGTGAGATAGTTTTTATGTTCCAAAATATTGGGGACATTTTTTTGTATTAAAAGGGATGTTGGTGGTTACAAAATTCATGAAAGAAAGGTATTCTACCATTGAATGGTGTCTTAGGACGATGAGTTATGTTCTGAGGATGTTCATTTGTTGTTTCTTTTGTCATGGAAAAGCCACAGACTGTGGTGGGAAGGATGTTGCACAGACGATCATTGTTACTAACAATGATCGATGGGTCAAGATTCATATAAAACCCGACTTAATTATACATGTAAGTTCAAATTATATTCTTATAGCATCACTTTTAAAAAAAAAAATTACCAACAATAACTTTTTTTATGAATAGACAAAGAATATCTCATGCATGCTTTCATCAAACATCATTCTTATAGCTACATATAAATTTTTTACTCTCCCAAAAACACAACATAAGTACGCCAATATTGTAAGAGAAAAAAAAAAAGAAAAGGAAAAACTATAACGTGCTTCATGCCAAGACTTTGTGTTGATTGAATCCATTAACATCCACTTTTTTTTTTTTTACTGATGCTCTTTGTATAAATCCACTCTATACCTTCTTTCTCTTTTCATTATCCAAATCATTATGTTGGTAGCAGCAAGAATTATACTTTGCCATGTTAATTAATTGTAATTGTGCAGAGGAAAGGTTACCATTCCCGATTGAAAGCCATGGATAATTTTAGAAGGAGAGGGTAGCGCCACAACAACCATTAGTTACAGGGACCACCAATCAATAAGTAACAACGCTACATTCACTTCTTCAGCACCCAATGTGATTGCAACTGGCATTACTTTCAAGGTGAACATATAAATAACTGATAGACCAAATCATTTATAGTTCTCAATATTCTTTATGTCTGATGTATTGTTATGTATCTTCATAACTCATATAATGTGGCGAATAAACTTTATAAATTGAACAATGTGGGGAAGCGATCCAATAGAGGCAGAAAATGCAGCAAGAATATATTTCTTCCATTGTAACTCCTTAAGCCTGGAATGCTTGGTCTTCTGTTGGCAAAGAGTAAGTTTAGACAGATACATCACTTAAAAGAAGCCATGAAAAAGCAACTATATTTCATATTTTAAACATTTTTTATTAACTTCTACTAAACTGTTGTAGGAGCAGGAGCACTTATGCAGAAGTTGAGTGTATGTTAAGCGGTAAAAAGTTGATATAATTATACTTTGAATCGTTATGAAATCACTTAACTTATGTTAATTTTAATCTATTTTTCTCCCTATATAGGATAAATTCGAGAATACCTTGATATAAGAGCAAAGATCATAATTATGAAGTAATTGAAAAAAAATTGAAAGAAAGAAGAACGCTTAAGCGAATGAATGATGCGAGGTCCGACCCAAATTTTCTTATAAAAAGATAAGATGTGTTTTGAGAAAGAAAGCGGTCTTGGAGGAGAATAGGCGCGACTACTGCTAGGGTTTCGTCCAATCTTCATCAATTCTTCACTTCTTCCACATTTGGAGCATTGTAATGGCCAACATGAGTGACTAACTTCATTCTCTTAGGATTTGGTGCACTTCCTTTGAACTCTTTTGTATCATGGTGATATTTTGAGATATTAATCTATGTTTTGATGTTGTTATTCTTATCCTTTATGTTTTGGAATGATTTATTCTTGATGTTTGGGCTATGATTGGAAAATATATCTTGAACCCTAGATCACGATAAGAATATTTGTTACGTTAGTTGTCAGGAATGGAATGAATGTATCAATTGCTTAATACCCTAAACCTAATGCTTGAAAATATCTTAATTGTGTGAGGAATCAACATTTATTAGGTTTTCTTATGAATTTCATGTGTGAGGAATCAATATGGATGATTTGAGTAGGTGACATCAACATTGTTAAGTTAATTGACATTTTTAATTGACATAATCATTACAAAAGAGGGATAAGGAAGGAAACCAATCATAAGTGTTTTTAATTGATATTGTCTGAACAATTTACAGTCTTTGTCATTTAAATTCAATTCAACTCTTATTGTAAAACTCAATCTGTTTTAATCCACTTAATAAACATATAATTGGGAATTTCCATTGAAACCGTTCATCGTGTGATCGACTTTTATTTAATTGAAATACTATACTGCGATTGATAATTTTAGTACGCTTACCAATAATACAACAATTATTTCTGGTATCGTTGTCAGGGAACAATGTTCTTTGAGAATTCTTTGTTTAACTTATTGAGTATTTTATTTTTATTTTTGTTTTTTGCTTTATTTTTCAATTTTATTTTGCTTAATTTTTGTTTTGTGCTAATATTTGCTTGAGTTACTCTTTTGATTTATGCGTTTAAGAGGACGAGTATCTTCAGAACAATTAGAATTTAATCCAGGAGACACTACAATAAAAACATCAAATAGTGACCGAAATAGTAACCAACCCAAATCGGTCACTAACAAAAACATTAAAAAATTAACAAAAACATTAAAAAATTAAAAATAATTTTTTATAACTCTCTAATCTCCGTTTTTTATTCTTTTATAATATATTTTTTAGAAATTTGAATTAATATTAGATTGAAAGAATTGTTACTAGCGAGGATTCAAACCCAAGTACCTTAGAGTTAGAGATTGATACTCCAACCACTTAGCTAATAGGAATTTTTTATAATAGTTTATAAATAAATTATATTTATATACAAATAAAAATATATATCCGTGTAAATATATAAATATAAAATATATAAATACAAATATATATATATATATATATATATATATATATATGTTGGATGTGAGGGCACGCTCGAGGGTGAAAGTGTGTCGAGTAGATTTTTAAAATTTGATGTCAAATTTGTGAGCGGATCTCTTTATATGACTTTATAATTTAATGACACAATATAATCTTTATAATTTATTTATATAATGATATAAAATAATTTTTTTCTTTATTTATTTTTATTTTATTTTAATTTATTCTTATTCTATTTTTTTCTTCTATTATTTAATTAAAATTATTATATTAAAATATTTTTTTCAATATTAAAAATAATTAAATATTTATTTTTAAAATTATTTAATTTAACAAATTATTATAAATTAATCTAATTATGATTATTAATAGAACAATTTTTTCCTAACATATATTATTATAAATTAATCAAAATCATCTTTTAATAATTATTTTTTCCAGACATAGTTTAATTCATAATAATTTGTTAAATTAAATAATTTTAAAAAATAATTTTAAAATAAATATTTAATTATTTTTAATAATGAAAAATTATTTTAATATAAGAATTTTAATTAAATAATAGAAGAAAAAAAGATAAAAAGAATAAATTAAAATAAAATAAAAATAAATATAGAAAACAATTATTTTATATCATTATATAAATAAATTATAAAGATTATATTCTATCATTAAATTACAAATCCATATAAAGAGACTCGCTCACAAATTTGACATCAAATTTTGAAAACTCACTCGACACACACTTTCACCCCCTAGCGTGATCCTCACATCGAACATATAAATATATCAAAATATATCAAAATATATAAATATATTTGTATTTATATATTTTATATTTATATATTTACACGAATATATATTTATTTGTATATAAATATAATTTATTTGTAAATTTTTATTAAAAAATTCTAACAATTTAGTGGTTGGAGTATTAATATCTAACTCTAAGGTACTAGTTTTGAATCTTATTAGTAATAATTTTCTTAATCTGATTAAAAAAAATTGTTAATAGGAGAAATTATATATTTTTGTGGAAATTAGAGCAATTAAATTGTTGTTATGGACTAAAACCCAAAAAGTAAAAAATAAAAAATATAATTAAATAAAAGAAACACTATATACTTTTGCATTTTTATTTTCAAATATTAGTTTTTTTATGAAATTATTTTTAATTAAAATAATTAAAGTGATATATATATATATATATATATATATAATTTTTTTATTTTAATTTATTAATATTATCAAATTTTAGCTTCATGATTAAAAAAATACCAATAATTTAAATTTTATTAATTCTATAATTTTATATAATTATTATTATAAATTTAATTCTCCAATAACTAATAATATTAACACATTTATTAAATTAAAATTCTTCATTTTAATTAATTATTTTGATTTTTTTAACAATTTTTTTAAATAAAAACGATAAAACTTAAAATTAATTTATAACTAAATCTTCACATATTTATGGTTAATAGTATATTATATTATTATGTTTAATTAAATTTTAAAATAAGTTCACTTAATCTTTACACTTTTATAAAAATACTAATATAAACTTAAAATATTTATCCAATTACTAAATTATTTAAAATATTAATATAAATTTGAAATATCAATTCAATAATTAAAATAATTTTAATTTTTTTATAAATACATTGAAATACATTTTTATTAACATAAAAGTAATATATATATATATATATATATATATATATATAAAAGAGAGTAAACTAATAATTAATTTAATCATTGATTATATATATAAAAGAGATTAAATTAATAATTTTTTTAATGATTGAATCGGTAATTAATTTAATAATTAATTTTAATTTTTTTATTTACATACTATATTACTAAATTATTTAATAAGTTAATAAACTATTTTTTAAATTTTTTATAATGTTATTAAAATTTTTATCAATTATTTTAAATTATTAAGTAGATTTATATTTAATATATTATTAAAATATTTTTAAAAATTATTTATATAAATAAAAAATAGTCACTAATTTATATATTATTTGTTTAGTGACTGAAATTTTAGTCACTAAATCGGTCACTATATATAAAAAGAGAAATCGAGTCATCGATTCGAGTTACTATTAGTAACTGAATTTTTCAGTCACTAATTTCAATCACTATTAACCATTTTTCTAGTAGTGACCGAATCAGTGACTTGATTTTGTGACCGAATCGATGACCAATTTCCGTGACTGAAATTTTAGTCACTAAATCGAGTCACTAAATATAAAACGGAAATCGATCATCGATTCGATTACTATCGATGATCGAATTTTTCGGTTACTAATTTCGGTCACTATTAACCATTTTTCTAGTAGTGATTTTTGCTCAAGCGAGATATTTTCGCTTGAGCGAGTGAATTTCTATGAGCTTTAACGTATTTTCGCTCAAGCGAGAGTTAATCCTACTTTCACCCTCGAGCACCCCTCACATCCAACATATAAATATATAAATATATATATATATATATATATATCAAAATATATAAATATATT